CTGCTGAAACCACAACTGTCTGCTTTTACAGTTGTCTTTCCTTATATTGGTCTTCCATTTTTCGTGTGTGTAGGTTGCTATGGTGTTGATGGAGAGAGTGACTCTATCATGAGCTCAGCTTCAGAAAATTCCACGGAACCTTGGTTTTGTGATGCATGCAAATGTGGTGTCACACCCAGTTGTGAACTGTGTCCTAACCAGGATGGGATCTTCAAGGAGACTGATGCAGGCAGGTAAGGCTGAAGAAGTGATGTTTTGAAGTTGATGTCATCTTACATTTAAAAGATTGGGTTTTTCCCTAGTCTGTTCTTGTAGAAGACAGTGTCATAAATTAAACTTTGTTGTTGATGTCCTCTCTCTTTCACCTCACTTAAGAGTTGGGTGCTCTTTGGACAGTCAATCACCTAATTTTTTTGTGTGCTTCTAAAATTCTTCACGCCCACTATAATATTAGGAAGATGTTGTCTTAAGGTGAATTTGAGAATGAAGACTTACGGACCTATGAGAAAAAGATGTACTAGGTGAAAATTGTGTAGCTGTTTTGGGTTTGCTCAAGCTTGGAGGTTGCAGTGAGAAAAGCAGGGCTTGAATCCCTTGAGCCTCACTGCTGTATAGTAACAGTATGTTCCAGCAAGGCCAGCTGATGGGACTGGTCACAGTGGTTCTCTGACAGTAACTGAGCTTATACTTTTTGGTACCTGCTGTCAGTCATGGTAGAACATGAACATGTGTTCTGCTAGTTCAGTTTAATCAGCTGCTAGAAAGCTGCATTTTATGCCTTGCTAGTATTGTGTGTATTTCATGGTTAGTCCTGCAGAGTAGCAAAACACCAAAGTGCTCTTCTTTAGTTAATAATGCCACAAAAAAGAATGATGAAGTCGACAGCAGAGGAGAAAAACACCTTCCAGACTTCTTGTTGTACTGGATTGGGAGAAGTATGTGGCCGTTGGAAAAATCAAAGTTGTGCTACATTTGAAGGAAGGAAAAGTAGACTTTATTCTTCTGATATTCTGCTTCGTGCAAGGTAACGTCACTGCATCCTTGTACAGACTCTGCTCAAGTCTCTCGACTTTCAAGTATGATGGAAGTCAGAGGACAACTCCATGCTTCTTTTTGGGAGGGCTAAGGACTGGGTGTTGCTGATGTCAGTAGTGGAAGAAAGTAACAAAATTATATTGAAGTTGTGCTAAAGGTATTCAGACAGATCTAGTACGTTATGATTATTTTGAATGATGAAAATTATGTTCTTGATTTTTGAGAGTATGCTTCACTTCTGATAATTTCCAGCCAGAGATGGGCTTTTTAGGAAGGAGTTTAGGTCTAATTTGAGAGTAAGCAGATTAATTCTTGTGATGTTTTCCATTCCTGTCGCATTTGGAGAATAAGATGTAGATATCAATTTTAACTGATTTTCTATAATAAATGAGAGATCAGGGTTATCAGTGATGTCTAATTTATGGCTAGTGTTACTGATTTTTTGGTAGGTGGTTTTGGTTTTTTGTTTTTTTAAGACCATTACAATTAAGTTCTTTTTCCATACATTTTACAGTTACATAAATTGTAGATACGTGGTGATATACAAAGCTTTCAGATGCTGGGCCTGTCATAAGCTTTTCATTGATCATGTTAATACAGGAAGGCAATAATTAGTTGGTAAAGCTGTTCAGAGGAGAAAGAAGCTTTATTAATCCTGTTTCAATGTATCTGTTTGAGATGTAGGAATATGAAAATCTGCAGACATATCTTACTGATGGTGATGGGTGAGTTGGAAAGAATCCCGTTAGATATTCAGTATTAGTACAAACACTTTAAGTGCTCTAAAAATCAGAAATGTCAGCATCTGTTACTGTAAAACTATTTGTATTTTTTAACATGAATTCATAGACACATTGCTATTTACACTTAGCTATATATTTTAGAACAACATCTTTTGTACTAGCAAATCACAAAATATAGCCATGCCTTCGCTCTTTCTTCACCTGCTGGTTTGTGGTGGTCTTTGGTTTTCCCTACTCGTTGTGAGGAGTTCCCTAGTTAGACTTGCACAAACACTAGGACGTGAGTTAAAATGAAGTAGAAGTTTAATATTACAACCTGTGTTAGCAAGCTTTTGTATATGTTATCGCTTAATTATACAGCCGTCTTGTAATGTGTGCATAAGCATATCCATATCTGTCAGTCTTTTCCCTTTTTCCCCAGTTTGCTATATATATTTTTTTTTTCTTTCCAGTCTTACACAGACTTTACTGTTTCTAATACTGTAACAATCTGGTCCTTCCATCATTAAAAGCTCAGCAGAGCTCAGAGTGATGTTTTGGAAAGCTTTTTTTGACATACTGTGTTGTCTGTGTTCAGAAAAGTAAATACAGTGTTACAATGTCATAAGCTGATTCAAGCTTTGTGGATTAAATTGTACGTGCTCTTGCATTTCTCCCTTAGTTTGTATTTTTTCCTGATAGCAGACACAATTTGATTTTGGTATTGGGAATAAAGAGATAACGAGGATATTCATAACACTGAACTTTGACCGTTGGATGCAGATGCCAGCAATAACCTTTGCAGGATTCTGCCTTTCTCCATTGAATATACATTGAGCTCAGCTTCTGTGTTTGTAGCTGAGATGCATTTTAAAGGTATATATATACAGTACGGAAAAGAAATCTTTTTTTTCCCTTCGTGTCTTCTACATGCATCTTATAAAGGGGAAACAATGGAAGTAGAAGAAAATACTGTGCTATTTTAAAACAAAAAAGTTACAGAAGTGGGTCAGGATTTGTAGTGAATGATTTTGATCTCACAGAAGCAGTTGTGCTTCTTTTTAAATGCTTTCGGGGTTCAGATCCTCAGTTTCTAGTCTGTCTTATGTTCCACAGTGTCTGTGTGTCTTCCTTATAAAACTCTTACACAATTAAACAAATTTTAGTTTCCAGTTCTGATTTCTATTTTAATGATAATGCTGTTATATGGAAAAAAGTGTTTTCAAAGACTAAAGTCCGTTGTCTAACAGTTAGGAAATGTGAGAATCAATATCATGTGGCGAATTTTATTTCAGCCTTCTTAACCCTGTGTTCTGTAGGGCAGATTAAACACTATATATAATTTCCCAGGTAACCGTAATACGAAGTACAGTCAACATGTAAAAAATTGCTTAAATTTCTTCTTGTGAAATAGTAGTATGCTTTTGTTTAATGTGGAAGTGTTTTCTCTGTGACACTGGTTCTCTCTGCAGAAGCACATGCCTTTGGTGATTGTGGGCATTAACACATTAATTTATTATCGTTATTACTGTATTTTCACCTGCTAGATAATGTGATATGGCCATCATGAATAAGTTTATTCCCCCAGATGAATAGAGCTTATGTACTAGAAAAAACAAATACTAACTACCAAGTGAAAATTTCTGTGCTCTCTGTTTCTATCATTTATTTACAAATTTGAATTCTCAAGGGTAATGGGGCACTACAGGCTAAGGGTAGGGTCTTGGGGCAGGCAATGTCCATTATGTTTTCATTGTACTCAGTAAACTGCAACCCAGTTCAATTCTTTTCTTGAGATACTAGCAGAGAGAGGCTACTGAATAAAAATAACTGACCGTTGTTCTCCATCCCCTTACCACCTTTATAAAAGAAATTCTTCGTTTGCGTCGGTGCTGGAAATTACACAAACAAACCTATTCAGTTTCTCTTCGTAATCAAGTTGGAATAATTTCTCTGTTCCTATGTGAAAGGTGAATCATTAGAATAATGAGGTGCTTAATTTCTCAGCAGAAGCCTTTTCACATTAACCTCGCAGTTGCACAAAAAATAAATGTGAACTTATGAAATTTTATTTCTCAAAATGCTATTACCAAAGAATATGAATTCTGTCCTTGTTTCGTTATGGAGTTTTTCTTTTTCCCTAATCAACATCTGTCATCATTGCTCCAAGCTAAATGGATGGTAGAGTAACAAGGAAGATTATTCTTCTTTGATTACCCAATTTATCTTAATTACAAGCTTCTAAAACATGTGCAGCTAAACAAATGAGCAGGAAAATATTTAGAACTGCTATTAAAAGCAGCTGAAATTGCTTCAGCTGTGAACTTGAGTGACTTGTGTATGTTTTGTAATAAAGATTCAGGCCTGAGTTCGCATAAAGGTGGTTATAGAAATGAGGCACTTGTGTGCCAGTCACACTGAAATGGCAGTTTAAATCTGTAGTACTGTAATACTTGGGTGACATGTACTAAAACATTCTGAGAAGGTCAGTATGAAGCAAGCAGCCAGCTGTTGGGTTTATCATAGATAAACTCCTACGGAGTGCAGCAGCATTTAATACACCAGTGGAGCATGAAAAAACTGTGCAAATTAAATTGAGAAGCAGCTGCTTGTAGAAGATGTGTATCTTTATATTGAACTTTGGAGGGTACATTTAAGAGACTGTGTTAAAACTTACTATCAAAAATCTCCAACCAAAACCTTGGATTTTTGTGAAGATTTGTAATTGTAGAGATGTGTACCTTCTGTTCATACAAATTTGTCCTATAGAACATGTCTTAAATCAATGGAAGGGTAGCGAAAAGAAGCCGTAAAGAATTCAGATGTTTTTTATTTACAAAGAAGCAGCTCTTTATCTGAAGGTTACATGTCTCATTCTGCACGGGGTGTTTTACCTTTTTTTTTTTAAAAAAAAAAAGTATTTTGATTCCTTCTGAAAACAAGTACAGTATGCTCATTGAAATGAAGTATTTATTTTAGTAAATGCTTAATATTTACCAAAAATACACATTTATGCACATGCATACACTTTTTTGTAGATTAATATTTCCTAAAAGTATGGTAGTGATTGAGGCCAAACTATGGGTGGTTCTGGATGCAGTGTGCAAGGGCAGAAAAATTCCTATTAAAATCACTTTTGCAAATACTTTTGACAGTGATTCTTTAAGCAATCCAAACCACTGATTTGCAACAACGTGATACCAGGTGCTCCATTGCTCCCCCGCAGGAATATCTTGTGCCTCGATTGCTTTTGTGGGGAGACAGACGGAAGATGCATTTTTCATGTAGTAATGAGAAGAATATTATTTTTTGCATGTAACATTGTATGAAGTTAGGGGGTTGTGCTGGCATGCTGGAGTGTTTATACTGTAATAAAATCAGCAATGAGCTTTACTCCCTATCTGAGCAGCAAGAAGTTTGGCAGAACACTTGAGTATCTCAGCTTGTTCTCTGACAGCTGGTATGCTGTCATATTTGTATCATGTTATTTAAAGACAAGGTTGTAACTCATCTTTAAATTTTCTTTGAGTCTTCAAGTAGTTACAGTGCTGTGACTAAACCCTTTTGTGGATGTGGAGAACCCTAATAAAATCTGTAAAGACAAAGCAATGCAGTTGTTGCATATAAATGTGTATTTGGTATATACATTCTTCTCATTGTTTTAAGCTTTCATGTTTTAAAGGGAATTTACCACTTAGCATCTCAAACCTGAGTGATTTAGCAATAGGGTAAAAACTTGTTTTCTAATAGACAGGTGAGAAGAGCCTTGTCAGATATGACACTATGCATAAGTCAGTGTTGTGACTTATGTTAGATTTATGGAGGAGTTTGTTGTAGTGAAGTGAGTTAGTGGCTTCTAAGTAGTTTCTTACCATTACTAGGATTTTTCTGTTATCCAGTTATTATCGTGGACTATTTTTTGGGAAAATGCTAAATAAATAGTCTATCCACCAGTTTTGTACGTTGCAAGATCATTGTTTTCTTTTGTAAAGACTTATATGTATATCTATTCTTGAGCTTGCTATTGAATCTTTCATATCTAACTTTTTTGAATTTCCGTTTGGATATAGGAGTCATATATAATTAACATGAAATTTAATAATTCTGAGTATGATAAATTCCAGCCTTGCAGGTCTAAGGATCCCTGAGGAGAAACGTGCTGATGTGGGAAACATGAGAAATCATGTTAATAAACATGCGGTTAAGTGCAGCTAAAACTAGGATCTTACTGTGCTGGTCCTAGTTGAATTTTTTTTTTTTATAGACACACAAAACAAAGAGGAGGGAGAGGAGATAGGCTGAACAGTGGTAGAAGATTGCAAGAAAAGAGCATAGCTGTATGGATGCATGTTTAGGTGGGTGGTAACAGGTCTGTGCTGAACCCCTGCTGTTTAGGGAGATTGGAAAATTGCAGTATGTGGGTAATGAAAGAGCCAAGGGAAGAAGTGTTTCTGGCATCATCATGAGTCTTCTTGAATACAGGGAGCAGATTCTGTGATTCTGTTAGAACAGAAGCGTTAGTCTTCACTAGTGATATATTTGCTGTTAATGTCTGGAAAGACCGTGAAGTGCTGAATTAACTTGCTGTCTAGAGGTCAAACAAAGGATATTTCAGCTCAGTTACGTCCAAAGTGTCTAGTTGTATCCCAAGTCATATGGGAGCTCATAGGTTGAAAGTGGTAGCTACACACCTCTGCAGTTGTAAGGCTGTTTTCTTGAATATTTTAAGATAACAGAGAGTAGCAAACTTCATCTGTCTATGACAGTTTGCTCCCACCCAGTGACTTAGCAAGGGGTAGCAAATAGTTTTTGGAATTTTGATAAAACAGAACGATTATTTTGGGGAGGAACACTTTTTAGAGTAGTTTGTCTCAGTTAATTTGAGTTGTGCATGCTATGTAGAACAGATTTTGAGTTTGTCACTAGCTGATGGTTTGTAATAATGAGAGTTGGATCTTTTAGAAAGTGTTCATTCTATAAGAAGAAGAAAATGTGTCTTCTGCTGCAAGGCTGTCTTTTGGTAACTGAGAGTGTCAGGAGATAATGAAGATGTCTGTCAAAGTCAGACTTAAGGCTGAAGCCTTTATCATTGTGTTGTATTTAATTACTAGATACCAAGGTGCGGGTTCATACTGTCTCATTTTATGCCCCTCAGGGCTGGAAATTTAGACCTATTGCCCTCCAGTTTGTTTATGGCCAGTGAAGAAGAGTATAGCTAAGTAACAGTCTGTTCATCTGAGTTTCATAGGCATTTGTGTAATACAACTCAGGTATGTTTATAACTGAATACAGATACTGTCCATGTGGCTTAAAAGTAGTTTTGCTGATACTAACGGGTGTAACTGTAACAGTTCGAAGACTGACTGATGCTGTGTTGTAGGTACTTCACAGTTGTATTCCTAGAGCTCAGTGTTACTGTGACTACCTCTACAATTTTGTTCCTCCCCTTCCCCCTGCCTCACCCTGTCATGAAAATGTCTGTCTGCCTTAGCTTTAAAAGTAATATCAAAATCTTCATATATGTTTCATGTTGCATAAAAAGTGGGGTTGAGCCCCAGGTGAGAGCCATCAGAACAGAAAGGTGATGGTAGCCCAGCCCTAGATCCAGACAGGCAGAGTGATCCCAGTGGCTTTGAAAAACCTTATTCTGTTGTGTGTGTGAGCTGCTGAATTCCAAATATGTGTTCTCTCCCTGCTTCTAATGTACTTTCCTTCAAACACATTTCTTCTAGCATCTGTAACATCTACCAGACACTTTGAAATCTGCATGTGGTGAGTATAATACAGGAACAGAACGTAGATAACGGTAATCTAATTTTATCTGCTATTTTAGGTGGGTCCATATTGTTTGTGCCCTCTATGTTCCAGGAGTGGCATTTGGAGATATTGACAAACTGCGGCCAGTAACGCTTACTGAAATGAATTATTCAAAGTACGGTGCCAAGGTAAGTTTAGAAGAGATGTACTGCCAGCAAGCAGCTTTATTTTATATTTTTACATGTAGTAGAATAACATACATCTTCTCAACTTAATTTTTCTCGTTAATAGCAATTGCAGTGAGGTTCAGGACTAAAAGTGAAATGAAGTTTGTTAATTGTTGTTATACCATTGCTCTTCCCTGCCTCTTTCTTTCTATTTTTCTTACCACGGTTCTCCATAATTTCGTCATTTCTGTTCTGATTTCCCCCTAATTTCCCTTATTTTTTTTGCAGGTGCCAATTACTTTCTTTTGCAGTCAGTTAGTGGCAAGTTGCCAAAATGTGGATAGAAAGTGAAGAGGATTTATGGGATGAGAAATGGAAAGTTAGGTTGATTAAGAAAGTGACAGATGCACTTTCAGTAAGAATTACTTTAGGGTCTATAGCATTGTAAGCTAGAATTCATAAAAAAAAAGGTTGTTGCAAAGCAGTATTTAAGAAAACTCACAACAACAGGGGGCCCTCAACTTGAACTTGAAACATAGCTCCAAATTAGGATGGTTGTAGGTGCATACGTTTTCAATCCAGATGAAAATGATCATATACGAACCATACAGAAAACCGTGGCACTGGGCAGAGGACAGCACCCAGTAATTTGCTAAATACTGTTTCTGTAGCTGATGGGGACAGTGTGGAGAAGCCACATGTATCAGGCCAATGTGAGGGAAGGTGGTTGTACTCCTGCTGTTCTAATGCGTCGTTTGTGCATAGTCAAGTTCATTTCCTGGAATGTCCATTTGTCACGTTGAATACTAAATGAAAATACATAGTACATTTTAAAAAATACATATAATATATAAAATAAATTAAAACACTTTGGGTTGCCTGTGTGCAACATACCTGTATCAGAAGCATGTTCAGCATGGGCCTGTTGAGGCAGTTAGTACTGTTTAGAAATGTTTGTATAAAAAAAAGTTGGAGCAAGTTCCCAAAACCCTACAAACTGTTGTTGCAATGTATCATGCATTTTTTTTTTTATGAACATGAATGATGTGTAGGAGCAGGGCTAAGAATCTGGGTGTATTTCATTATCATAAGGTAAGTGAACTGCACAGATGAGGATTCATGACTCTTGCAGAGATGTAAACAAATGCTGTTTGCTGTATCAGGTGTGGAAATTACAGCTTCCTTAGCTAAATTTCCACCTGCAAAACCAGCTTAATATAATACCCTTTTTCACTTCATTTCTTACCTGTTACGTGTTGGTGTTGCACAGGTAAAGGGTGTGCTTTTAGGGTAGTGTATGTTGTGTTTTGAGATTCTTCAATCACTGAGTTTTCTTTCCCATTGCTTTCTGGTTTTGTTTTAACTCTCTGTGTGGAGATTATTTTCTGTAGGTGGTGCACAGCTTTGCTCTGTATTTAGCGTGTGAGGGATCAAGAAATGCATGCCTGTATATAATAAGTTTGTTTTTTTTTTTTCCAAGTCACATTAAGAGATACCAGTTCGCTGTGTTGCAAAGGGCTGTGCCTAAAATGCATGTAGCTGATACCCAAGTGCAGTGTTGAAGTGAATCACAACCTCCTTTACTGATATTTAAGATTCTTTAGTATTTCTTTCTGCATTGTCACGCATTTGCTTCTCAGTCTTTGCTTGTCAAAGGACATGTGTGTAATTATCTGTGCTTTTCAGTCATCCAGAGCACTGCTCTTTTCTTGTTGTTTGTCCTCTGAACTTGTTGAAAATTGAACATTTGCTGAGCAGCAATGTTGTTTTATGATACCTTACTTTTGTGTAAGTAATTGTGCATGAATTGCTTGGGTGGTATTTAGTTGTTGCTCTTAAGGGGAATACGAGACATGGAAGTTCATATAAAAATTCATCCAACATGCTGTTTAGGTTGTTTAAACACAGTTCTGTTGCTGTTTGAAAAAGAAATCAATAGTGGGGATTGGGAAGGGATGAAGTTTGAAGTATTGTCAATTGTCAGCAGCACACTTGGTGTCCGGAGTAAGCTACCTGTTTGGTTTTTATGTGTAAGACGTAAACTATCAAATATTAGGCAAAACACACCTGAAATATTTACTGTGGCATTTTTCACTCTCTTTATAAAGGAATGCAGTTTCTGTGAAGATCCTCGTTTTGCCAGGACTGGTGTATGCATTAGTTGTGATGCTGGGATGTGCAGAGCTTACTTCCATGTGACGTGCGCTCAGAAGGAAGGCCTCCTCTCAGAAGCAGCAGCAGAAGAGGTAGCTATGGATAGAATAAGAGTTGTGTTGAAAGGTTGTGGCGATGGCCTGAAATTGTGCCTTTTTTGCTCACGAAGCCTGAACAAAGTTTTTGTAAATCAATAGCAAGTCATAGGCCGAGTAAAGGGACTGTCCAGGGAGGGTTCTTTGTTTACCAAATTGTCCAACTCTGAGCACCTTTTGAAATGGTCTGGAAAGAGGGATAGAAAAGGTTAACACAGAAGTTGACTTAATAGGCTGTCAGTCAATACAGATGTGAATTCTGACTCTAATTCTTGAACTTCACCTATGATGACATACTTACCTAGGTGTTTATGTGGTATAGTAATATCTCTCTCATAACAAATAGGACTTTCTTGAGAAATTAACTACGTTTCTAATGCTGTTCTTTCATGCATGTCTGCCAGTATTTTCTTCAAATTGCAGTATGGGTATATGACTTTCCTTGTGGTAACATTTATATTAGGAATCAGAATGAAGAGCAAACATTTATAACTTACTGATAACTTTTTAATATCTGTTCTTACCAGTTTTCTGCCTGTAATATGATTAAAGCAATTTAGATTTGAAGCTCCTACTTCTGAATTAGTTTTCATGGTATAAGTACTGTTACGTTGCCAAATTTCATCCTGATATGTATCATTTGGATTAAGCTTGTCATGTTCATAGCTGCACGATTTAACTTCTTACTGCTTTAGGAAGTACCACAGGTAAAGCACAAACAAGCATCACATGCACTATTGACACTGATACTTTTGTTTATGAAAACAGTGGGCCACTAAGTTGTCCTTAAAGGAATCCCAAAATAAATTCTTCTGTGAGATTGATAAATAGGAAGATAGTACAATTACCTCATTGTTGTTGTCATAATAAATTATGTGTAACGTTGAGTCTTCGAACACGCTGTATGGATTTCTTCTAGGTATATGCATTTACTTGCCTTTACACCTTAAAATTTTCTCACGTTTTCTGTAACCAAAATATTTTTAATCAGGGCCTCACAGAATCTCATTTTAGAGTGCTGCTAATTTTTGTAAGTAAGTTGTCACACACTGTGAAATTGTAAGTAAAAATAAAGTATGTTTTTAAGGAAAGCCTGTGTAGATTTTGTAGGTCTGTGTTTTATGGGTGGAGTAAAGGAAAATTTGGCAGGCAAATTATTAATATTTTTATTACTTTATGAAGGAAGACTGCTTGAAGTTCTTAGTCTGTACACTTATGATAACATTTCTACACTTTTGAAAATATACTGGCAATGAAATATACTCTCAAACCATATTTCTTCATGGCTCGGATATTTGTAGTCTGCTTGCAAGGTTTGCAAGTGCAAGAACTTGCTATAAACTTAGAGCCATGATAATGTGCAGATCTGATGGCGCGAAGCATGAAGAATGGAAAAAAAAAATACCGTCTAAGATATGGTAAATCATGTGGGGATATAGCCACCAAAAACATTTGGAAAATCATTTGAGAAAACTGAATATGTTTCAGAATTGCTGATCGCTTGTAGGATATAATGCAAAAAATTACACAGTGAAGCAGCACAAAGTTAACAATACATGCTATGAGTTTACGAATTTGTACGTGGGAATTTCTTCTGCTGTTTCTTCTGGGAATGAGAAACTACAGATTGAACAGCAGAGTTGAATAGTTGGTGCACTTAAAAACGTTTAGGGTCACACAATGAAAACAGTGGAAAAACACTTTGTATGATAAATTACATCAACGTGACAAAATTGATTTAGAAACATACATATTAGCTGTTTTTAAAAACGTCAATTTGAGCATGAGAACTGATTGCCAGAATGTTTATGCTGTTAAGAGCCTTTTGACCTTGTATGTCTTACTTTGTTTTTGTTCCTTCCCCTTTGTTTTCTCTGAAACAGGATATAGCTGACCCTTTTTTTGCTTATTGTAAACAGCACGCAGACAGGTTAGACAGAAAATGGAAGCGGAAGAACTACTTGGCATTACAGTCTTACTGTAAAATGTCCTTGCAGGAGAGAGAAAAACAGCTCTCACCAGAAGCTCAGGTATTGTATTCATGACACAAATGTGTCTATACTAATCATCCATGTTAAACAAGAAAGAAATGAAGAGGATGGGAAATTGTTATTATGGTAGGAAATGAAATGTGAAATATATTGATAGTGCATGGTCATTTAACGAAGCAGTGAATTTGTACATTTTAGTCTCTCTCTGTTATTAGGTAGGAATATCTATGCTTGTCTGACTTGAAAAATCTTACTTTGGTTTTGTGGTAAAAGGTTGATAATTACATTTCCATTGTAATTCATAGATTTTGTTGAACATTTTCTTCAAGATTCTTAACAAAAAAAGACAAGAAATTAGGTATATTTCTACATCTGAGTTCAGTAAAAATCCACTTTTTTTGCTTAGTAATATATTGAACTTGGCATAATAGTTTAGCTTGCCTAAAGGTTTTTCTTGTTAGATCCTTTTTCACTTTTTGTAGGCCTATGTAGAATTTTGTATGCTGGTTTTTTTTCATAGTTAAGATTTCCTAGACAAAAAATTATGTAGGTATGGAAACCGAGTCTGCGCTGCTGGGTGGGAGTTGTCTGCAAATCTTAGGCAAAGTCGATATCCCTATCTAGTGGCAGATCCATGTAAAACTATTAGTTACTGCATAAGCTCAACTGATAAATGCCCTGTTGATGTAAAGGTTTCAGTCCTTCTGAAGGAAGTTATGGGAGAGAAATAACTGCTTTTTTCTGAAGAGAGAGCTGTAGTGTAATGATCAGAAAATAAATCTTCATATCATTAAAATTTTTATTTAAAAAAACATACCTTTCTGGTTCTTCAGAGATCTTTGAGTAGGTGAAAATAATACTAAATTAAAATGACCTGTGCATGTGAGAATGAATATGAGCAAGCTCTGTCACAGAAAAATTTTGAATAAAATATTTCTGTGGGTTTTGTATTGAGCTTTATGTAGCTCGATTTAAAACTGGTTACATAATTCTTGCTGAATACACTCAGATCTCAGTTACGTGAAATGCACCTGTGTGGTGGAGAAATCGCAGTAATATGAATACTACCCAGCATAATGGTAAGTGCAGACTCAGTTTGGGTCCAGAAGGGCTTATTAGCTCTGTTTTCATGCATTTGTTAAGCAGTGCAGATAATGCTGATAAGTTCCCAGCATTTCCCTCTCTTCTTCCTCTTCCCCCCCAAACCAAGACCCTGCAGATTTTTTTAATCCAAATTATTTGGATTAAATGCTTAGAAACTGAAAGAATGAATGCTGAAAACTGCAGGTGGAATTACTTAACAAGGTGTCATAGGCACCTTGATACAAATTTGATAACTTGCATACATTTTGTATAACCACTCGATTTCAGTATTGATGGCTCTGGCATTGTTTGAGTTTGTGTTAGCATTGTGTGTGTGCGCCTGAGTTTAAATGGATGGAAACAGACTGGATGCTTGAAAAACACATTTCTATGTCCAATTGTATGTATTGGGATTTTAAGAGGCAATTGAGTTGTTTCTGTGCCTTTTTAGAAATGCAGAACTGTAACGGGTACTTACTACATACTAGAAATGTTTGACTGAGGAGTTGACCCGAAGTGTGTATGATTTCACCCCTTACCTTACCCTGTGTTGTCTGCGTGAGGAAGTTAAAACCCCACCAGTAAATCATAGAATCATAGAATTGTAGGTTGGAAAATACCTCTAAGATCATCAAGTCCAACCGTCACCCCAACACCACCGTGCCTACTAAACCATGTCTCGAAGTGTCACATCTACATGGTTTTTGAACACCTCCAGGGACAGTGACTCCAGCACTTCCCTGGGCAGCCTGTTCCAATGCCTGACTGCTCTTTCAGTAAAGAAATTTTTCCTACCATCCCATTTCTCACGTCCAACTATCTTTGTTAAATTAGGATTTTGTCTAAGAACTAAGAATCTTGAGACAGCTTAGTCTGTTTAAAAAGATTAATTAGTAAATATATATTTATAGTGTGTATATATATGTATGTACATACAAAAGCTCACTTCCACAGGAGTTCATAGGCTTAATTAAGGTTTACAAATACTGAGCTAACACAAAGAAGTATGTAGTTATACAAAGAATTTATCTGGTATTGTGAAAGTGGATTTTTGAGACACGCTTTTGAGGAGAAAGAAATATTTGATGCTTTGTAGCACCAAATAACTGAGCAGGAATAGCTGAGCCTGTGGTCTGGCAAGTCCTGTGGCTCGGGAAAGTAAATCCCGCTAGAGACTATAACATATAAAGCTGTCTAGGACTGTTATGGATTGTTGGAAGATGTTCTACTTTGAAATACTCTTTTTATATCAATAAAGGAAATATACATTCCCTGAGTGAAGCGTATACTTGAAAATTGCTTAAGTCCAAGTAACTTAAGTTCAGGATTTCATTTAGACATTAGTCATTTTAATGCCATCTACATCTGGAATAAAGCTCTAGGTATACAGTTGTATGACATCTTAAATGACCCCAAGGGTTTCAGACTGGAGCATGTAATCAGTAAAGAAGCATCTTAGATGAGGAAACTATAAACCATCCTTGGTCCTTCAAGTGGAGAACAAAGCGAGGCGGTGGCTTTAGGTGGATCTGTTGCTTGCTGCTGTGGGTCCAAGAAAAAAGCCTTTGGGTCAGAGCTGGTCTGCAAGTCACATTGGCCGTGTTTCTTGGTCATCAGTGTTCAAGACCTAATAAGGTAACGTGTGTTAAAGTGTCTGTAGTATTACCTTTAGCGATGCTATTTGTAATCAGAGATGTTCCTTAACCGTAGCGTGTATATATGCACACTTTTTTGCTTTTGTCTCAGGAGTATCTCATACCATATGGTGGGGCAGTTGGATTAGTTTAGTTTCTTCTTTGTGCAGGCAAGTAAACAACTTCAACTGATAGTCAGCTGGAGTTTTGTCTCTGAAGGTTTGTATGTTGATGTCATTTTCTGCTGGAATTGCCACTACACAGAGTTCGCGCAAGACAGTGTTTTTCTACTGTCAGTGACAACTTGATCTTCTGGGGTTGGTCTCCCAGATGGTCACAAATATACAGATGTCATCAACAATACATACTGTGAGCTTCTCTTGCCTACTTCACTTCTGTTCGGATTGTGTTTTTGGCACGTTATAATCAGCTAGTTTAACATATATAAGGAGATGTGGCATTGGGAAAGGAGTTCCTATGAGAAGATGTCAAATATGGCAAAAATGCTATTCATCAACTTCTGTTGCTCATGTAGATACCAATTTAAAGTGTATCTAAATGTATTTTTGATAGGTCAGCCAAGGCTTTTTCCAGCGGTGAGTTTTCACAGTCCCATCAAATTATCATTATTAGAAGGGATTTTCTGAAAGCCAGCAGTCATTTGTGCTGCTTTCATTGGTGGGGACATCTCATTAAGAAACTCTGAATACGTCCAAAACCTAGTGAAAGGACAATATTATTTGTGTATGTGTTTTGAAGTAAAATCAAATATGTGTATTGGTGACTGTTTCTTGACTCATAGTGTTCCAGAATGAAAATAGTGTTAATTAGATCGTGCAGCTTATAAAATACAAATAAATTGCAGAGGTGTTCCAAAAGGATATAACTCAAAATCAATTTTGAATTGTTCCCTTATGTTTTTAATTTATGGAATTCTTTATTGCAGGCTCGAATCAATGCCAGGCTACAGCAGTATCGTGCCAAGGCGGAGCTGGCCCGCACCACCAGGCCTCAGGCTTGGGTTCCCAGGGAGAAGCTACCACGACCACTTACTAGCAGTGCTTCAGCCATACGTAAGCTTATGCGCAAAGCTGAGTTAATGGGAATTAGTACAGACATTTTTCCAGTGGATACTTCAGATACTAGTTCCAGTGTTGATGGAAGAAGAAAACATAAACAACCAGCTCTCACTGCTGATTTTGTGAATTATTACCTTGGTAAGAATGAAAATTGCATATTTTTCTCCATTAAAAAGTATCATTATGCTGTATCTGTACTGTGCTGATTCATTGGCTTTTTAATTTTTCTTGTGTTTCGTTATTGATAGATAAATATGAATTATGGCTTCATTTTAGATCAGGTATATTGTTATTTGGTATCTGTATTTACACAGAAAGGTAGTGATTTTTGAAAAAAAAATTTCAGAAAAGAAGAAAACCTTTCAAATATGAACAGGAGGCAGTGTCTTTGCTAGGAAGGGAGTGGAAGCATAGGTACCTTTGGTGTCGTTTGTTTTTTTTTTCTTGCGTTTTCCTCCCTTTCTGTGTGTAATAGTGTGATTTTGTCGTTGGGACTGGAAACTACATGACTGATCAAAGCTCACTGTTTAAATAACTATGCTAGTTATGCAGCAGAAAGTAAATGTTGTAACTGTTCATTCTGTTCAGTTTGTGTAATAAACCTGTAGGCTATGGTTTTGTGTTTTTGTTATTTTGGTTTTATGCTTTTCATTGCTTCACTTTTTTCAGTGCATAAAACTGGAAAGTATAGCCAAGAATAGTAATGCAATTTTCTTTTAAATAGAGAGAAATATGCGCATGATTCAAATCCAGGAGAATATGGCTGAACAGAAGAATATCAAGGATAAATTAGAAAATGAGCAAGAAAAACTTCATGTGGAGTATAATAAGGTGAAGAAAAAGGGATAATAAACCATTGTACAGTTTTAGTATTGCTGCTGTTAACTTTTATAGCATTTTGCTTTCCGAACAAAATGACTTGGAAAGAAAGATACAAACCATTCTTTGTTTAAAAGTAGTATTTAAAAATATTTTTCCTCTTTTAAAAATATTCTGTGTTCCACTGCCCCCAGCCCCATGCAAGCAGAATCAACTTGTAAAATGTCGGCTGGGCACAAGTTCTGTAACTGACCCCACTGAGAGCTCCGGTAACGAATTGCATGTGGACAGACAGATCCCTCTCATGAGTGAATTGTGTCTTAAGGCCCTGCTTTTTTTCATTCTTTTGAGGCTTTGAGACAACAGAATTTGAGTCCTTTCTTTCTCTCTGTTTTTTTTTTTTCTTTTTTGTTTTGCTTTGTTTTGTTGGTGTGTAGCTCTAGGTTCTTTTTGAACTTGCTTGGAATCCTACTTCGTAATTAGGAAACTAGGATTGTCAGTGTTTGTTTATTTATTTATTTATGTCAGCTTCTACTGCAGTTGTGTTCATCCTAGATTTAGTGACTTAAATTTTTCAGGCTGAAATAATCAGTATTCATCCATAGTGTCCTCGGAGTGTTTTGTTTGAGAACAGGAGATTTGGGACCCATAAATGATGGCATTGCTCTCCCAAAATGTTGCTAGTGTAATTTTTTATTAACTAATCATCATGGTTAAAAAAGTGTTTTTTTAAATTGCATTTTTACAAAATAATTATTTATTTATTTTAATCTTTAAATATTTTTAAATGCAACATAAAAATACTGTGTCTTTTGTGACAGATGACATGCTGCAATTCTTGCTGAATTCAGCAACATATAAAATGATGGTTAGTGATGACAAAAAATAGTGTTGCTATTAAATCTTAAACTGTTGGGTGTGTGTTTTAAATAAGAACATACGGAAATGAAGCAGCAGGTCCTTGTGAACTGCCCAAAGATGATAAAGAGAAGGAGATTGTGTGGGGGGCTTTTCAGCAAATTAATAGGTTTTATATGCTGTGTGGTAACTAACAGTTACTTCCAGAAGAAAAAAAATCATTTTTGTCTGCTTGCATCCTTTAATAAATTACATCTTTTTCTGTAAGAGTGAGTGAATGCTCTATGATAATGCAATATAGAGCTTGAATTCATTTATGTGGTTATTTGTTATACTCTTGGTGCTGAAGTAGTGTGGAGAACATATACAAGATGTCACTGTATTTTAGTTTTGTTTTCTAGTTGACTTTATGAAACCTTATACTCAAGCTGAAATGCTTCAGATCTTTACAAGATAGGTGGCTGCCCAGGTTTTCATCTTAGTTCCATTAAATTGCTGAATGATTGCACTGGTCTCAGCTATATTGACATGAGTTTGATTGTTTCTTAATCCCACAATAAAGTAATGCACCCTAGATTGGTAAGAAGTTTAATAAAATTTATTAGATAGTTGTTAGTGGATTTTCATTCCTGTTGTTTTTTTCTTTAACTCTTCAGCTGTGTGAGTCCTTGGAAGAGCTACAAAATATGAATGGGAAACTGCGAAATGAAGGGCAAGGCATTTGGGCTCTGCTGGGTAGAATCATTGGACAGGTTGGTTGGTTTCTCCACCACCACCCCCCCCCCTTTTATATTTCATAGGCAGACCTGGTTTTCCAAGGATAGGCCTTTTTGTTTCTGTCTGTCACTTCTGTGACCAAATACCTTGATTTGATCAGACCCAGGCTTTACTCTGGGAATAATGTTTCCTGATTGAAATATCTAGACTTCTGCAAACCACCTACTGGGAACTTGTAGCTTAATTTTGTTGTTGTAATAGCAGTCTTGTTTGCAAAATTCTTTCATTTGGTATAACTGATTGACCTGTCATTTGTGATGAACTTTAACATGAAGCGTGAGTTAATCCTACCATTTTTGTCTCCACTTTGTGCTTAGTTACTGTAGGCTTCAAATGATACAATAGCTCTTTATGGCTTTTATAAGATATAAATCTTTAAAACTACAGTATATATGTGATGGTTTTTAACTGGACAAAGCAGAATATTTTGGTGAAATGAATATAAATATCTAGGAGAACAGAAAATCTGAATTACTTCCTGTTGCCAGCAGTTATCTTTGTTCTCATTGATACGCATGGGAGAAAGAAGTATAGATTCTTGCCATGTTTTGATATATGTTTTGTGTCAAAAGTATTAAATGACAACGAACATTTTGGATGTCAGAGAGAGACTGAAATGATTTCCAATAATGATTTTGAGGAAAATTTGACGAAACTGTTCATTGTGAAAATGCAGACATACACACAGTTTTGTTGTGCCCTTTGGTACTGCTGAGTTTGTGCTGCTCTTTAGAAAATAAAGCTTATCCTTTCTTTATGCAGTAGTAGTTCTTACAGTATGCTAGCTTTTTCTGGTTTATTTGTCCGCCTGTCTTTTCTACTTGTGAAGAAAGATTCTCACATAACGTGTCTCTTGAATCAAGATATTTTTTTTTTTCCCCTCCTTTTTAAGATGGCTTTGAGTAAGTATTCACAAATATATTTCCTGGTGCAAATGTTACTAAATTAAAAAAAAAAAAGAAGAAAAGTTAAGTAGAATTCATTTGCACAGCTTGCATGACATTTTTTTTCCAGTTGGTTGAACAGATGCAGACCCACGGGGCTGCTGAGAAATGACTTTGATAGATGGTTGCTGTCTGAGAAGCTAGCATGCTGCAGATTAGTAGAAACCCGAAGAGAATCTCATCTGCTTTGTGGAGGGCTTGGTCCAATAAGATAATTTTTCTAATTAACCTGTCGAGCACCAGTGTAGCTGGGATGTTGGGGAAAATAAACTGCCCCAGTATTCTTCTGTCGATTTTGTGAATTTGCCTTTGTTTGTTTCAGCTGCCTAGACAAATGCATCCTTGTCCACCCCTCTATTTGAAGCTTGAAGAAAAATTTTAAAAGCTAGTATTTGAATGCATTTTTATTCATTGAATTGAAAAAAAAAATTAGTGCAATATTACTTTATCCCAGTATGATTTTGTAATATAAACATCTGTAGTAGCTCTTGTCTGCAATATAGCTAGCTAAGCGATTTTCCACTCATAATTTGAGTCTTGTTCTTGAGACTGGAGTGATATTCCCTAAAATTCTGAAGACTCATGTATACTGCATTTGTTCAAATCCAATAGAAATTGAACATACCAGCAATTTTACGTGCTCCTAAGGAAAGGAAACCAAGTAAAAAGGAAGGAGGAACGCAAAAGACGTCTATACTTCCAGCTGTACTTTATAGGCAAGTAATGAAGTCTTGACAGAATAGATACAATATCTAGTAAGTTATAGTTTCACTAAAATGTTTAGATAAAATTGTTTGCTTTGGTTTTGATTAACAAAATGCTTCACAACTGTACATTTTACTTCTGAAGGCTAAGTTGAACAGTAGTGAAATCTTCACCTTAGCACACATCAGTAAGGTTTGGGGTTTTTTTCTAATATGACAGCAGTGCTTTAAGGACAAAGGTAACTCTTTACAGCTGAAAGAGAAGGGTCATTTGTCTCTGTGATGTGAAAACTTTTAACTGGTCATCTTGTCTTTTGAATGTAGTCATCTTTGTTTAATGATTTTGCGAACACTGCTGCTGCTGTTTAGTTACTGTGGCTGAGTGCATAAAACACTTGTCATAATAAGGATTTTTGCTTTTTGCTCATGGGTGGTCAAATGCTTTGGGATATCTTGTGTTTTAAATTTCCCTATTTCTATTAATTCCCAATAAAATAAAACGTGTTCACTTATTCTGGCATTGTTCCACCTTTTCCCACTCTTCTGTAAGGTGTGAAGCTACTGACTTGATTTTAACTGAGCCAAACAGTGGAACATAGACTAGGATCCCAGAGCATGACTGTGCAAAATACACATACCGTCTTGGATCTTCTCTTGCCACCGGCTGAGCAGCGGCATGGTCTGTCACTTATCTAGAGAACAGCAGCCAGGCCTCCAGCCACAGCAAGTGGGCAGTATCTTGTCCAGCTAGCAGGCTAAATGAAGAAGACGGGTTACATAAGTGAAAGTTAATTCTAGTGCTATGAGAGGTGTAAATCTTGAGCACATGGCAGTGGGCTGAGGATTTGGTGATTTAGACCTGTACACAAACAAATAATAGGAGTCGTACTTTGCTAGTTCTTTTTCATTCAAATCCGGTCATTTAGTTCCTCCCACTCTATAATGGAATCAATGAACGCTTCATCTTTTTGAAATAACTAAAATTTAAATTCCAGTAAAATAATAATTAAAAGGAAATGTAATTTCTTGTATTGGGTAATGTATCAACTCATCAGCACAGACCTATTTCAGGGTGCTTGCATTATTGAAGTAAGCATATGATTGTTAAGACTGATAATAGCAGCATAATTTTCTATTTAGGTGTTTGGATGGCACAGGTAGTATTTTTTTCCTTTTGCCAGTGGTACATTTTGTTGAAATATCAGGTGATTACTTACTGGGTAGAGGTCCTCAGAAAAGAAGATTGAAAGCCGTTTTATTGTTAACTGTATTAGGTGCCTTTTATGCTTTGCTGTGTATAGGTAGAAGCTCCATAAAAAGTAATTGTGCACTTAAATGATGCATTCAAATTGAAGTTGCCACACATTTGTATAGAAACTGGAGAATGTGCTGGGATGTATTGTTTTTTCTTTATGATTTCAAATGTAATTATAATGCTTTTCTGCTACCTTCATTCAAAGTTGTGGAATTTGCAAGAAGAACCATGATCAACACCTACTGCTACTGTGTGATACTTGTAAACTCCATTACCATCTTGGTTGCCTGGATCCGCCTCTTACAAGGATGCCAAGGAAGACCAAGAACAGTTACTGGTAAGAGTGCAGTTGGTGTGTTGTCTTGTGCTATATCTGTACTTAAACATGAATAGACTTGCAGATTCTAGGTGCTTTAGACATCTCTATAATGCAGACTGAACTGAGTTATTTTATTTTCGGGTTATTAGCACTGATATTTCAAGGTAACAAAAATAGTTATAAAGATTTTTTTCATTATTAGGCACTGTGTAGAAATAGATTATAGCTTTAATTTTCTTAGTTTTCAAGTTCATTTGTGATTATTAATGCTGCTGTATAATAATGATAGGAAACTATAGGCTACCTTCAGGAAATGAAAGACTTGGTTTTGTGTTAATTTTAGGACCCAGATATGCAACTCTCTGTCCAGATCTTTGGGAAGATACATGTAAATACTTACAAGTAAACTTTTAAGTAGTAGATCCGTTTATTGCAATATGGGAAATCAATTGGGTTTGCTTCTGTCTTACGGCTCTTCTCTGCAGTGGCAGAAGCATATGCATAACTGTGCTTAAATGCAGTTACATTTACATGAATTAATATTCTTTTTGTGCCAGTGGAGCAGAACAAAAGCTAAGTGGTACAATGGAGGACTGATAATGGGGTAAAGGTGCTGATTTCCAACCTCTCATAAAATGAGTGTGCTGCTGTGTTGGGTTAGCATTCTGCCTGTTTCTACACTGTTTTGAACTGTGTTAGAAGCAGTTATTCAGAAGCAGTTTTTATCTAGCAAGAAGTTAGTGTACAGCATCTCCAGGAATCATCATCACCTCATCTGAACATTAAGGTACCAAATCAGAATAGTATGAGAATTCCCTCTAAAAATACAATAAAACTGTTTTAATTGAGAAAACTTGGTTGTATATTTTTCTTCATATGCCTCTTAATTTTTTTTTAATTTTTTAAATATTTCTATAAAACATCTACTTCAGTCATCTTTTTGTGTGGTTTTGATGATTGTGTGGAGAGCAAGATGGCTGATACATGAAATAAGAGATCTCTTGGTTTTTTTGTGTCTTAGAATGACAAATTCTGGATTTACCCCAGTAAATTTAGTAAATTAATAGAGATTTCCTTTAAAAGCTGAAAATCTCGGAAAGGTTTTCACCATCACTAATATTTTTCCGATGTTAATTTTCCTTGGATTATGCAATGTAGTCTGTGATTTTTGACTTTTCATTATTTCAAGGGCATTCTGAGTTCTTTGGTCAAATTTCCTAAGTAGTTATGTTAAATTGAAGCTTTTTTTTTCTTTTTTGGTAGCTTGTGCATTTGCACAGGAGGTTCTTGATTTTTGTTCTACATTTCAACGAAGCTGAAAAGGCTTACTAAAAGCCATCAGTCCGAAAAGATGTAAGACTACAATTCTCAGTAGGTGTTAAAGGCAAAATAGGTCAGGTTAGGTAGTAAAACTCTTTCATTTCAAAGCTATAACTTCGCTTTGTTGTGAATTTCATGCTTCAATTATATCTCAGATCACAAACGTAGCTTTTACTTCTAATTAGCTAGGGCATATTCTGGAGTGTGAGATTATAGCAGACAAATTGAGCTGTATTGATTGCATTCTTTTCATCATTGGACATGCCTTTATGTATTCTTTTCAGGATCAGTAGAGAGAATATAGAATGGACCCTTGATCTGAGTTCAGGAGGTTTTTCCCCCCTGCTGTTTTGAATGCAAGTTTAATCTTTTGATTAAGCTATGAAGAAAAGTACAGGGTTTTTTTATACGTGGGCCATGTATTTTTCAGTTGTTTGTATAGGGTATAATGGGAACTTACACAAAAAGGTAAAGCAAGAAAATGGGTATAGTGGGAAATATCTTGAAGCATTAGGAAGGTTGAAAGACTTTAAAGTGGTTAAAAATGTTGACTTGAGTCCTCTTTTAAATAGTAAGCAGGAAACAGTTAAAAATAATTGTTTCTTAATATTTTTGCTTTCTATTCCATTATCACTGCTTAATCATTTACTCATAATTGCTATCTTGAGCCTTTGAAAAAGGTTTGATGATTAGTCATACACTTTGTCAATACATATTTATTTAAACATTGGGTAGTTTAGCATGAGTTTATTCCATATGCTTCGTATTTTGTACTCTATTTGAGGATGCTAAATGATTCAGCTTATGTGTCCAATGCTATGTAGATTAGTTAATAGTTATACGTTTTGTCCATTTCGTGCTCAACATTTAGTAGAAATATAAATTACAGTATACAAAAAAGAATTTTGAAATTGTTTAACTAAATCCACTATTACATGTAATGGTAAGAAAAAAATATTTTTTACATTTAAATGCTAATTTGTTAAACAAAGCACAAATTATAATTAGTTATCTCAATGTTTCTAAACATTAAAAGCAGGTAATGATTTTAGTCTTAGTGAAATTGTGGTAAGAGTTTAGACGTGGTGAGCATCAGTGTCTCACAGCTTATTAGAAACTTGTTTCAAGCATTTAACACTAAGAAGTTCCGCTGTTCAAAGCCTGACAGTTTTCTGCAAGGTAACATTTATACATCTTGAATATTTTAGAAGGAAATTGTTTGTAATGTAGTGAGTTCAAAGCCTGTACTCATTTCAGATGGATCTGTTTTGAGAGGAAGAGCATAACAACTGTTTTATGTAATAAAACATGAAAACATTAATTTTTGTCTGCTCTGATGTGGTGCTTTCGAAGTAGACCAGCAGTTCTAATCATAGAGTAAAATGCTGTGGCATACTTTTATTTAAAAATGTGGAAATTTTCAGTTTCTTAGAAATCCTTGTGATTAAACACTAGAATATTATTTGGATTCACATGTTATCATAAAATTAAGTCTTGTCATTCTCTCTGACAATTGGTGTGCTTTTATGCTTCTGCCCATTCTAGATGGGCTGGAAACTGTGTATTTTCCTGGTAGAGAATGATATGAACTGATACAAAAGCAATACAGAAGTATGGACAGACAATACAATGAATCAAAATCTGATTGTGAAATATTGATATTTTCATTAAGAAAATACTTGGCAGCTACCGACAGAGACTAGCTCTTTCTATTGAAATGAGATTACTGAAAAATAGTAATAACTTCTGGTAGCGTATGAGGTGCTGAGGACTGAGATGAACCAAACAAGGACTAAAGATCGTAACAGGCTTAGTGTTTTTTATTTTCCTTCTGGAAGGCCAAGTTATAGTGGTAACTGCTGTGGGGAGTATTGGCCACAGGACAGAGTGAGCTGTGGCGTTTCAGACCCATAGTCCCGTGAACACTCATTCGGTATCTGTATGTTGATTCATATTCCTGACTCCACTCATTCAGTACTGATCCACCACATGTTGATTGTTTTTTCATCCTGAATCACTGGATAATGATACAAAATTATTAATTTCTAGAAGTGTGAGTGCAATATAAAATTGCATATAACACAGATTTTTATGTATTTATCACTTACCCTAATTGAAGGATGTTGGAGGTCGTTGCAAATGCCAAATTTTCAGTACCTTTACTGTTCGAAAGAGGTTCTTCGAAGCTCTTTGACAAACTATTTTTGGTTCATATTTACTGTCTTTTATCTCCAGAATAAGAGCAGTCCTCCTTTTTTCCACTTCCAGTACATCATTCAATATGTGTGATTTATTCAAATTACCAGAGCACAGGTGTCATCTTAAATCTATGGTCCATGTTTCTCAAGGTCAAAGTGGTTTAATTCTTTGCTAACACTGCAAGAAGTGATTTATCACAGAGTATGTGTATGAGACCTGTTTCGTCCTAATTAAAAACAAGCCAAACTAATTAATAACTGTACAGTTTTCCTTTTTAAACACTGAGGGCAGAACTGTTTCCTGGAAGCGCTGCAGTGGTGTTCACTCGGCACAGAACACTTAAATTTACGCTTTTCACAGTAAGCACTGTGTGCAGAGGATGCTAGTTTCCTCCAAATCGCTTCTGGCCTAATGCCCAGTTGTGCTTATAAGAACAAGCGTCTTGCTCGAACCGAGGCCTTTGTATTTCTGTCACACAAGCCACTCTAAAACTATGTCTCATAACACAGTTAAGGCAGTCAAATTCATCTGCAATGTGATAAATGAACAAAACCTCAGTTTTTTCCTAATTTTTGTAGTGTTACCTTTTCAATAAAATATTTTCTCATGTTTTTATCTGGTTTTCTGTCTTGTATAGCAAAGATGTTTTTTGCTTCATTATTAAAATTTCAAAAATGAAAACAGATTCATGTAAAGTTTACCAGTGTGTTGGCTTTGAATCCTGTTTGTGAGATCTTCAGCTTTGTGACCTTTCATTTATTAAGGAATGGTGTTCAGTGTTTCTTCAGCTTTTCTCATCATCTTTTCACAAATTTCTGTGTGCCAGGCCCATCAGTTAAAGTGCATTTAGATTTTTTTGATGTGTAAAGCTGCAGCGTACAGAAGCATCATAATGTCATTGTTTGCACTAATTTTTTTGCAAAATAATGGGGTTTTCTCTCTACGGTTTTCATTGCCACTTCACCAGAAAACCACCCCATCTCCAAACTGTCTCTCCCCTTTCTGTTTTCTCAGTGGTGTAGGTGTTCACTTTTTCACTTTGTAACAATTTCTGGGTTAAAGGCCTCATGCCGTCAGTTTCTAAAAATTCATGGGCAGAAACCACTCTTTGGTCTTTGAGTGCTTACTAAAGCCCCAAAGTCAAGTCCCATTAGAGGTTCACATGTTTCTTGAAGCTGTCCATACTCAAAAATCTATTCATCACCAGGCAATGCAGAAACATTTGCATCATGCAGTTACACAAAAAGTGTTTCAGTGTTAGCCTGGACCATTAATAATTTTTGAAAATTAATAATAGGTATTCATTTTCACTTGCTGTTCTTGACGCTTTTGCTAGTGAGTTGAGACTATCCGTTTGCTTTGTGAGATGGGAAGGTATCACCGTGAAGGTGGTGGGGCACTGAAAAAGGTTGCCCAAAGAAGTTGTAGATGCCCCCTCTCTCGAAGTGTTGAAGGCCAGGCTGGATGGGGCTTTGAGCAACCTGGTGTAGTGGAAAGTGTCCCTGCCCATGGCAGGGACGGTGATACTAGATGGTCGTTAAGGTCTCTTCCAACCCAAACCATTCTGTGATTCTATGACTCTGTTTCTGGTACCATTGGTTCTTATACCAAGTCATACAGAAAACACAACAAAACCATGCAGTGTTTTTTCTTGAGTAGGTTATTAGCGCTTAATCATAGACTTTCTGTATTATTAAAAGGTTTCATATTATCACTGACATTTCTTGATAGATCAAACATTTCCAGTAATTTTTAGTAGAAGGCACATTTTAATAGTAGACATATTATTGCCTACTACAGATTTTATCTGAGAGTCTAGATTAGGCAATTCCAGACTGAAAACAAAACAAAACCTGTGTACAGAAGTTGTATCTTTGACAGCGTTTCTTGTGTTAATTTGCTTGTGCTGCATGCCAATGCTTGCAAATTTAGAGGTAGTCAAAAGTTGTTGGAAGAGTTGGAAAGATGACCAGTTGTGGTAGGTTCACTATTCACTGATTGTCCTTAAAGAGGTGAAATTAAATGAGTGTGACTTTAGCGTAGCCAAAAGAAGGAGGAGGAGTCATATGTCTGCTTTCAATAAATATATTTGGATTAAACAGCAGAGTGGGAAAAGAGTTCTTTAAACTCAAGAACCATCTTGAAATAAACCATAATAGGAGCTGAAAGTTAGGAGATTGTTTCCAAGTCAGAGGAGTGTGTGTGTGTCTGTAATAGCTTTTCTGTGGGCCCTATGGGAGCTACCAACCAAACTACATTATAGTTGAAGCTTGACTGCTTTGTAATAGGCTTCATAAGGCGTGGTTGCCTGTGATAGTAGAGGCTGTTCCAGTAAATCAATAGGTTGCTTGTAAGTTCATGTTTATAACTTTCCTTTTTTCCCCTCACCTTTCATTTATTTGTGAAGTTTTATTCTGTGATTCCACCCCAGTCCCGTCCCCATCATGATATAATTTTGCAGCTTGGTTTTTGTAGGTCTAGCTTTTTTCTGCTTTTGATTGCTGAGACAGTTGCACCACCTGTTTCAGAGTAAGCTTGGTCATAAAAATGGAATTTCAGGAACTTGTATGCAGTACATTATCTGTTGATTGAGATGTTTCTTGTCTTCCTCACTAACATAAAAGTTAAAATATTTATTTATATTTAAGTAGGGCCCTAATGAAACTAAGGTACTTTACTGATCTGCATAGTTAGTTTCTGTGCAAGTGTCTGAGCTTATGTAGCAGTGTCTTTCCCTTTTAACACTGCAGAGCTGAAAACCAGGAATTATATCAATTATAGGTGTAAGGGGTAGATCCAAGAGACTGGGTTACCAACTCCAAATGTTGCTGTAAAAGCATACTACTGTTTTTTTTTTTGTCTTATAAAAATTCAATTTTTTTAATGCTGCTCTTTGGTTGTAGAATGCTTTTTTTTTAATTTATGTGTAGTACATATTTTTACCGTAACAGTGGGGAAAATAAACTTTTTGTAAGAATTGCTCATCACAGTATTTTGGAACACTTTCATAGCTATTGCTTACATCTGCATAAGCAGATCATAGTAAGTACTTCCAGTTGTGCTTTCCAGTACCTAAGTTAATGACATGACTGATGCTGCAGTATTAGGGAGGGTTGTGGTCTCTGATGCTTGCCAAACAGAAAATCTCCTTAGAGTTTTGAGCTGGACAACTTGAAGACAATGAGTCATATAAAAGTAAAGAACACAAAGTAACCTTCAGCTAAGCAGACACACAAAATTTTGAGGGAATGCTGTTATCTCTAAAGCTTCTCTTTCCTGTTAGGTCAATGGAGAGCATTTCTCCATAAAATCTTACCATAATAGTAGTCTGTGTGCTTTTGTTTTACTGCAGTGCATGTGTATACATATTTGTGTGTGTTTATGCACACAAATTTATGTAATCATAACTGTAAACAGTGACATATTGTGAATGTTATTATACCTTATATTTTTTTATTGGTTTTAGATTATAGTGTCCTAAAGAGACCTAGAAATACTCACAGGTCCTATGTCTGTAGCGAACTGAGGTTTGTAAATAGCAGGAAGAATAGAGTATTACACACTTATATGCTGGCCCAAAACTGTTTGCAAAGTATAAAAACTGCATAAACCGACTTCCTTGTGTTTTGGCTAATGAAGTCTCCATAGTTACATGAGGAAGGGGAGAGACTGCAATCTGCCCTGTAGTACTTCTGCTTTTCTAGACCAGCAAATACTTCTAGCACTGGCATGTGTCCTATTTCCAGTGGTCTGAAGTGCTTTAGAGATACGTGATTAATCTTCATAACATTATGATGTAGCCACAATTATCTTAATTTTACAGATGGAAAAATTGGAGGAGAAAGGTGTTGCCTTAGCCTAGGTTACACTTGTAAATTACGCAATCCAGGATTAGATCCCCTCTAGTTTCACTTGGTAGCCACTGGTCTGTCTGGCAGACCATGATGACTGCTGTTGTTTTCTGGTATAGCCAGGAGAGATCTGAGATAATACTGCTTGAATTAGTTTGAAAGAATTAGAAAGCATGGAATGTTGATGGCGTTGATCTTGTGTCAGATCTTACTGAAGTTCACAGGAGAGAAATTATTCCTGTTGAATATCTACATGTGGTGAAATCAGCTCAGACACAACGTACATACCTGACTTTGTGCTTTTGTTTAGATACGTGTATGACTTCTTGTCACAAGTGTGTGTTAACATTTAACATCAAATAATTAAATACATGTATTTTGCTTGTCTCCTTCCAAAGCAAATTTGCTCCTTTGTTTAGAGAATTTTAATGTGTGTATCCCTGTTAATGCCAATTAATAGCAGAACATAAGGTTGGGGGTTTTTTTGGTAGTTAATATGACAACAGAGATGAGCTGGAATTTGTTTGAATGGATTTATAGTTTTTTTGAATTGGAAGTGTAATGTGAGAAGGAATTAAAAAAAAAGGCTCTTATCAGTGGATATAATATTTAAGTTTTCATTAACATATTTTTAGTTATTTTCTCCAAGTAAGACAGTTTGATGAATTCCTGTGCTATTAATTCTGTCATGGAGTTTGTTAATAGCCTTACCTTAGCATCTGTTCACTTTTGAAGTTCTAATTGTGAGTTTGTACTTTTTCAGAAACTCAGTAGGCATTGTTTTCAACTTAGTGTTCAGAGTTTGTTGATATACGTCTCTAGCTTGTGTATCTTTAATTGTCTTCACTATTTTTGGGGGGATTAAAACCCACTCCCTTGGAAAATACATATTAAAATTGATTTTCTTAACAGACATTTCTTCTAAATCTCTGCCACTAAAGACTGTTCTCAGAATGAATTCAGCAGCGTGTTGTTGTAAAGATTAAACTGCAGCAGCAGTTACAATAATGAATACATTACAAATCAGTGGGCACCATTAAAAATGGGGATATGGTAGGATGCAAATTGTGAAATACAGCACATCTTTCTTGAAGGTTAAGTCCTACGTTCAAAGTCTCGGTTTTCAAAGTTTAAATACTGTCAAAAAAACCCAGCAATAAGAACATCTTGCCCATTTTTTGCTTAGTTGCTTAAAATATTATATGTTTGAGGGACTTCTTTAGGTGTCCATTGAGTTTCTTGACCTTTGATTTTGTTTTAAACCCAAACACTTCAATATGTTTCTTTTTTTTTCTGATGTGACTGGAGTTTTGAATAGAAAATCTTCCACTTTGCAGGCAATGCTCAGAGTGTGACCAGGCAGGTAGCAGTGACATGGAGGCTGATATCGCCATGGAAACCTTACCAGATGGGACCAAACGATCAAGGAGACAGATTAAGGAACCAGTGAAATTTGTTCCTCAGGATGTGCCACCAGAACCGAAGAAAATTCCAATCAGAAACACGGTAATGATGGTTGAGTTGTTGTTATGCAGCTCGTATTCATAATAGCTTTGTTTAAGATGACTTATGTTTTGGACATTCTGAATTACGGGATTTCAATTTGACTGATGTTGTATTTCTGTTATAAATTCCCTTTCCTCTGTTTAATGCTTTATTACTACTGTTAAATACATAGTTTTGCTGAAGTAAAAAGCTGGGAAACGTGGTACTGAACTGAAGAGCTGTATAAGCTTTTCCTTCTACCTGGGTCATGAAGTCCTCTGTTAATTGCAGAAAAAGGGAAAATTCAGTTTGCACTTAAACTTAGACTTTACAGCTGTTCTTCACCTTAGTAGTAAGGGAACTTTGTTCTTATATGCGAAGATTTAAATATATCAAATTCCCAATTACAGCTGTAAAGCAATTAGTCGTTTCCTTATGTAGAGGCAACCTACAGACTGACTGCACATTTTGTGACTGTCACAAGACCCTTTTATTTCAGTTTGTTTAGCTTCCTGGTCTTACTAGTCATTGTACTTTTTCACGAACTTTCCTGGTGGGTAGTTTTTTGAGAAGAGAAGGAAAAGCTCGTGCTTCCTGTACTGACAAAATATCTAGCATATTTCTTTCATTTGAAAATAGAACTTTTTTGTTAATCACTGTGCTCTAATCCTTAAAATTTTGCTCTCTTACTTGCTCATAAAAGAAGATTTTTCATGTGTAATGTCACATCACCTATAAAATGTACAGAAAAGTATCACAGGGCTTTTAGGTCCGGTTTAGGGAATAAGTAGTGTTTCCATGACTGTTTGGCCGTGAATGGTAATTACATATAAGCTGGTGGTTCATCGTCCAGTATACTACTTAGTATTAGGAAATACTTAAAGCCTCTCGTGTTAGGGCTAGACATATTTCATCTCATGCAGCACAACTTTGTTTTCCCCACAAAGCTTTCCAGACTTTTATGCTTGTACTAGCAGATACCATACTTAACTCTTCGGAGCACACGCTGATAGGATTAAGCAAGTATTTTCCTGACCTAACCTTAAATGTTTGCCTTAATTAAATTTCGGTATATTTTGAATGTTTAGGCCATAGCTTTGATTTACCTAATGGCTTCCTTTTCGTGGTCTATGACTAAGAAGAACTTTAAGAATGGCTCAAGCCAAACTGATTAATTTAGCTCAAGCTATTAGGAGTGCGAGTAATCCAAAATTAAATTTTGTGAATAATTGAGAACCTTTCTGTAGGGGAGAAACTTCTTTTTATTGCTTTTTCTCATTGAGGGAAAGTTCCCTTCTTCCCTTCTTCCCTATGTGTAAGAACACATAGGTTCTTACAGATGTCTGGGAAGGCTGAACTGGCTGTCATCACACTGTTGTTCACACAGAAAGAAGACTTACCTGGTGTTCCTGCCCTTTGCATCTCCTCTCCCCTTTTTCTTCTTTCTCTCTCTCTTTCCTCTTTTTATACCTAGTATAGTGGTATTAGAGGGTGGTAAATCATGATTATGGGACTAAAGAGAACTAAAATTCTTGTAGGATACACATTCATAGTAGTAATAGACAAGAGAGTGATATAAGGCATGTTACAGACATCCATAGGAAGACAAGACTGGTTTGTTCTAATGCCCATGTAATAATTGCCAAGCTGCTTCTGTGCTAAATGGAGAGAAGTTTGATTGCTCTGAAGGGTTCCCCTCATGCTGTGACACTGCCATGTACTACACTGGTGATTTGGCACCTCACGTGTGGAGTGCATCTACACACATTGTGGTGTGTAATGTAGAGATTAAATTTACTTAGAGTGGACTAGCATGTTGGTACAGCACAGCATTGCACCATGGAAGAATTACTGCTGCCAGTCTGAGAAAGACCTTGTTCTTCTGCTTGAATTTTTAGGCTCTCTTTCAGTTCTCTCCGGTTCTCTGCTTCTCTACAGCACATGGATTTACAAGATAGCATCTTTGCTGTCCTGTGGGCAGGGCTCCTCTGTCAAAGTTATCTCTGCTCTTCGCTTTCCCATAGCTGCTAGCTTGTTGTTTGCTTGTTTGTGGTTTTTTTTTTTTTTAATTTTATTTCCTGCTGTCTTCTACTTAACTAGGAAAGAGAAGGTTCACAGCTTTGACACCTGCTGGATTTCTTTCTCTGAGCTAGGTTTAATTTCTTCGTTTCAGCTCTTTCATGATCTTGGTGCCTTTAGGCTGTATAACAAAATGAAGATAACAGACCTCTGAAGACTTAGTAGATATTTCCTGACAGTATGGGATTCCCACTTACCTTTGCTATGAACCTGGGAAAGCTGGTGTTTGTTTTGGTTTGTTTTTTTTAGGAACAGAATACTTCTTAATTCATTAGTTCTGGGGCTGCCTGTATATTCGAAGGAAGAAAACCTGACCTTGAACAACTCCTCATATGGAGTGGAGTCTGACTACACAGAGGACATCTATGTGGTGCATTTCAACAACGACTAGATACTTGTTCTGTCCTTTGTGTACTCACTGCTCAGATCCTTTAAAAGAGTTTAAAATAAAGAAGAAAAAATTGACAATTAAAAAATATACTGACTTCACAGTCCTCTCTTCTGGGTGGACTGGGCATGTTGTATTCAATTTAGTTTTATTTTGGAAGGAATTGATAAACCCGCTTAGCTAACAGTGTGTAATCAGCCTTGCTTACAGTTATAATCAACAAGTACAATTATAGGACTGTTGAATTGTGTATCTGTTTCTCTTAAGGATATTTCCATTTGTTTTGCATAAATTTATCTTGAATTGATATAATTGAAAGAAGGTTTTTTTGCCACATACCTAAGAGAACAGAATGCATATTACATGTTTGTATTGCATTGTAGTTGTTTTTTATAGTTAACTCTTCATTACTTTGTTGATAGTAATTGTGGGTAAGCCCTAATATTTTATTTTTATAAAGTTGCATTAGATGTTACTGATGACAGTAATAGCTGGTATCTATGAGACATTTTATACAAATATATGCTATCTATATGAAAAAAAAATTCATGTTAAATTGTACTTTCAGAATTGACATTTTGCAGTCAACTTGTTCTGCAGTTCTGGTTTGGTAACGTTGATTTCAGAGATGATAAAGCATACCCCCTTTCATGAAAAACTGCTTTTTTCCTTATTTGTGATATTGTGTTTTTTTTTATTTCTGTCTGCATGGGGTGTACTATGAAGAGTAAAAGGCCCTTTTAGAAGTGTTCATAATTTTACCATTGTTTCTTGTTCCATGTAGTTATGGATGTGTACTTAAGTCCTGTAAATTTTTTTTCTTTAGTTTCTTTTTGTTATCCTTTGAAGCGCCTCAGTTCATTGATGTTGTGGATTTTCTTTTCGGTGGGTAAATTGTTTCTTGAAGAAAATAGTGGTTGTTTTTTCAGCTTTAAAAGTAACCTTACAATTTCCTTTTGTTTTGCATTATTGCTAGAAATAATAAGTACTTCTAATTTTAATTTCTGTAACCTGTAATATCTCTCCTCCTTTTCTTTTGTGAACTTAACAGTTCTTTTCAGGTTTTTCTCATCTTAAGTACTTAGCCTTACATCTATGTCAGGATACTCTTAGCAGAGATTTAGAATGGGATGCTCTGCATTATTTTGAATGAGGTGCCGTTTCTTCATATCTTCAGTCTACTTGTGCAAAAAGCTGTGCTAATAACTAATTACTGGCTTGGAAGACCTGTGAGGAATATTAATTTTCCAACTCATTGAGAGGAAGGTGAGACTGTTCAATGAAAATTCAGGTTTTCTTCTAGGGACTACATTGTTCAAATCTTAATTCAGTCTAATCTTACATCAGAACCATGATGGCCAGAGACCTGTGGCAACTAGACTACACTAGTTTCACAGATTTTACGTGTTATCAGTTTCCTTCTGTAGTTTAGAAGTGTGAGAGAAGTAAGACTGAAGCAGGTTATTGAGAGTCAGGATGGTGCTTCTTCCTCATGCAGTTCTCTACGTTAATTGTGTGCCAGGGCAGTGTTTTGCATCCTAATGGTATATAAACTTTTTAAAACAACCCTGTGAAAACTCTATAGTGTTTCCATCTCTTAGCTTGCAAAAACTTTGGAGGGTATTTATACAAAGAAGAGCAGTTTTTTCAGAGAAAATGGGAGGACAGAGAGAAAGTCCTGCCATTTGGACTGCATTGTTGTGGCGAGAGTGCCTATCGTATTGTACCTTGAAACGTAGCTGAAGTTTACAAGAAGACCTTCCTGACTGTAAATTTTATGAGAAATACTGTGTAAGAGAATGTACTAAAATGCACGAGGGTAAAATTAAACATGTAGAATTCTACTCTGAGTCAGGGTCTATACAAATTATAAATGAATGTAAATAGACAAGACATCAGGCCTTTATACTTTAATCTGTTGTATAAGGGCTGTATTTGTGGCCAGAATTTAATTCACTGTTTATGCTTATACATTTCAAGCCATATTTAGTGATCTTTTAAACAATTTTCTGAATTTCAGTGAATAACTCTTTAGACTTACTTTATTTAAAATATGTAATCTTTGTAATTCCGATTTCATACTTGTCTGAGCTTCACAAGTCATTATTTCTGCTGCTAGTTAATTTCAGAGAAATTAATAGCTAATGATTAGCTAATGGCTAATAGAAATCAATAGCTAATCTGTGTAAACCAGTAGATGTCTATAAACACTTTTCTGTATTTGTTAAAAACCTGAAGATGTATTTTAACATTTGCTTTTCAGAACTGTACAGTTTTTTCATATTGGATATTATTATTAGGAAGATTAAAAGTGTGCAATAGTCTGTTTATTTGGAAAAAATTTTGCAGATAGTGCTTTACAGCAGGAAGTTGAGAGATTAATGCTTTTTTCTTTACTTTAAAATTTCATTAAGTATGCTTTACCTACTGTCTGTGCTGTCATCTGGAAGTGTAATGGAATTTCTGTAAGAAATGTTGAATACCTGCACATCTTCTAAAGCAATATTGTGCAGCTGGGGCTAGCTGTGTGCTGTAAGAGGTGGTAGGGGATGCG